AGAGGCGTCTTGTTCAGCGTGCTGTCAAACCTACACTAGCAAGGAGATCGGGCTGAAACTATAGCTACAAGCTATCCAAGGATGGTACTATAGAATGTCACCTCAAGGTAAGCCTAGTGGCGTCATCTCTTGGTTAGGCCGGAAACTTATCAATCCACCCTCGTAGAACCACCATCTGCCCTACTTTGTCTACTGAAACTCATTGTCAAATCGCTTCCCAAACTTTAAATCCCGATTTAACCGAGTTCCAACATAATCGATTTCCGAATGTTTGACATGCTGCAACTTTTTTTATTCTTTGAGATAATAATTTTTTCAATCAATATGTTTTGCTTGTCAATCTCTATCTTCCAATTAAATTTGATCTAGATTGAACAGCATATTTGCATCCCATGATAAATTCTTTCAGTCACGACCTGTCCACTTTCGTAAACCCTCATTTAAGTACATTTCATGCGCTCTTACTTTTTGTTTTCGAATCCTTAGGAATCCGAATGAATCCTTTGTAGTTAGAGGTTGACATTTAAGGGTAGATTTAGACCACTTTGAGAATCTCCTGTCTAGTATGATCTACTAAAAGTTAATAAAGAAGTTATAAAATTGTATTGCTCTTTTTATAAAAGTTCCCTTTAACGTAAAAGACTTCCAAAAAACGACATTTTCATTAGGGACCGTCTATACATTATCTACGTCATGTTGTTTTTGCATTAACTGAATAAAAGCAAGTATAATTTTGGAGTACCTATAAGAAATGAATTATTTACTTAGTATCTGTTTTTAAATACATATATCATATTCATCCTCCGCATGATTCAGCCAAAACAAAAAATAATCTTTTGAACGTTTACCAGCGTTTTATTAAATTTTAAAGTCATAAAAAAAATTTAAATATTCAAGTCTACGTATACACATAATGCACTTGTGTTCAGATGAAAACACTTTCCAATTTGAATAAAACTTGATCATTTATTACATCTCTATTAATGGTAAATTATCACTGTTAAAATAATGTCGAAATTCATCCGCATTTGTATTAATTATTCGTGTAATTATCCTGTTATCTGAAATCTAGAATTCACTTCAAATATTAATTATTTGTAATAGGAATTCTGCTTTTCAATTTTTATGTTAAAAATTCACCTTGTTATCCCAGGCCAATCGCAAGTTTTAATCATGATCTAAAGTCTGCATAATCGAGGCTATTCAAAAATACAATAACCGTGGAGTAACAAAGTGAATTTTTAACATAAACATTTAAAAGCAGGAATAACCAACATTTGAATTTAACTTGGGGTTTCACATAACAAGATTATATTAGTTAATATATATGAATTCGAAAGAAAATATTCACTTAATTAGATTTGTTTGTGTGGCATGACAGTACAAGTTTTAGATCTAGGTAAAGTTCCTTTCAACTTTCACAAGTATCAGAAATTGGTTTTAACATGATTATTACCATTAATAAAGCAGATAGGTGCTTTATTTTAGGACCATTAAAAACCCTAGATATTTATTGAGTAATTTTTGTTGAATTGTATACATCTATCTATATTTTAGATTATACTTTATCGTGACATGGAAAATTCCAATACTTTTTAGGATATTTACACGCAACAGTACCACCCACACTTCTAGACCCCTTGGGGCCGGTTGTATTGGGGCAGTTCGCGATGTCTGCTACCAGCGATTATCCGAAACGTTCTGAGCCCTCGACGAAAAAGATCCCTTTGTACCAGGCAAACCCCAGTTACACAGTTCGAGTGATTTGTTGTGTTTTGTTTATTTTTCTTACCGAACTTTGTCTCGCACACTACATTTACAGATTGATAAGAGCGGAAATCAACAGTCAATACATTGAGAAAAGCACATTAAGACATGTTTTGCTGGCGGAATTAAGGGAGGATAAAGTAAGGGACGAAGTTAAGAAGATAATCCGGGAAAATGAGATGGAAGATCCCACGAAGACGTGGGACGAAATCGAAAAATTTCAGAGAGAAACAGGTAGCTTTTGGAATTTGTCTGGTAAATTATTGTTCTATCACCAGCAAATATAGATACTATTGATTAAATATAGTTATAGTTAGGCTAATATAAAAAAAGAGCTTTAAACACTGCTGAATTACCAATTAACTTGTAATAAAGTTAATTTTTACTAAGCTAAAAAATAGAATATAATATTTTAATTATGTACTTCAAATCAAAGTGCATTACAGAACAATCAACAAAATAATTGATATCAGGGATGTAACGGAGGTAGTTTTATCGGAACCGAAGGCGGAGTCGGAGTTTTTAAATTTGCTTTATCGGAGTCAGAATCGGAGTTGGAATCAGAGTCGGAGGCTGGGTCAGAAGTGGTGGCAGGCGAGAGAATTTTTATTTAAGGACAAATAAAACATTATTTAGTCAATTTTTTTCATTTCAATTTTCAATTATAAAATAAAACACAAACAATGAAAAAACAATTGACGATAGAGTGCTCAGTGCACGTAGTGGAAGTCGGGGGGATTCCCCGCGCGACATGTATGAAGTTCATACTATGAACCTGTTCATAACAGTCGACACAGGCCGCCGCGCCGCCGCTATGTTAAGCTTTCGAGCTCCGATTAAAACCTTCGATTTAAAAGTGTCGGAGCCGAAGTCGGAACCGAAGGTGTAATAATAATCGGAAGTTCCGACTTAACGGAACCGGAGTCGAAGCTCCGTAACATCCCTGATTGATACTTAGGTATATATACATTTACATTTATAATCAGTTTCATTCCTGAAATCAGGAAAAAATATTGCACTTTCGGAAAGAATTGCAAATCGGTGGACTTTTGATAACTTTTTCGAATAAAACCAAAGCAATTCTTGGTATCGTAGTACTTACGGAATACACTCATACTACGTAAGGAGAGGGGGTTCTTGGCATATAGTAGTTGTGGTCATCAAGGGAGGGAGGGGATAAAAGAATGGGTCACGTAATATGGGCGCGTTCCTTTAATTAATAATATCAAACAAATACATGCAAAATTAGAAAACAAGATAAAAACTATTTTTTAGGATGATGGGCATGCAAGTTTAGTATTTAACTGAAAGTGAAACTCGTTTTATTGTTTTTGCATTCTCATTGTTAGCTGCTGGGGAAAATATTTCCGGCAAGATTAGGAGAATTGCAGATTTGTCAGACGACGCGGACAATTCTGGCATCGCTAACGGCGGCGGCAGCGATTACCCGAACGAAAAAGGGAACAGTAGGAAAAAAAGAGGAGCCCTGGTTGAAGACAATTTGCTTAATTCGTCGGGAAAACACTTTAATCCATTACATGACGTCAAAGATGATATGGAAAGGCTTCAAAAGAATAAAAAACAGGGAGAGACCGAATTACCTAAGCCTTGGATTGAATTAACAAGTCAATCTCGTATACCGGTATATAAAAATAGTGTTCAGAAGTCAAGCAAAGAATGTATCGAAGTTATCCTAAATTTTATCTAATTTTGTAGATTCCAGTAATTTTAGACTTTTGTGCAAGAGCTATTAAAGATTGTCCACCCGGAAATCCTGGACCGAAAGGTCAACCTGGCCTTAAAGGCGTTAAGGGAGATAGGGGAGATACAGGTTTTCCCGGAATACCAGGTCCTATCGGCCCAAGAGGTAAGTTATCATCAACAACATTGTTCAGTTTTCGAAAAGTCAAATAAATGTATTCAAGGCCATCCTGGTAAAGCTGGAGAAAAAGGAGAGTCTGGAAGACCCGGACTTGATGGTAGAGACGGAATACCAGGGGAGCCTGGCCTTGATGGTATGCCAGGACGAAACGGTCACGATGGACAAACTGGTAAAGATGGAATACCAGGAATTCCAGGACGAGATGGAAGAAATGGCACGGACGGTAAAAATATTGAAATTAATCTATTTTATATAATACTTGTGACCCGCCCCAGCTTCGCATGGGTGCAATGCTGATACTAAATATATTTTTGTTTTGTTTAGATTATTATCGAAAAGGGGAAATCTTCAAAAGATACCCCCTGAACATACTAAATATACTACAGAATGTCTTTATATACAACATTCACAGTTTTTTTGTCATTAGACAATACAAACCGGCCTCCCGGCCGGTACCGCCGCAACCGCTATGTCCCTGCATTTTAAATCTGTAATATCTTCGAAAATATTCATTTAAATTACATGCTGTAAAGGGCCATATTGATCTATATTAAATGCACAATGTATTTAAGGTACTTAATTGGATAAGAATTAATGCTGTATTGCCTACAATCGCTTCGTAAATAAGTCATTATTTCTCATAAAAAGTAAAGGATAAAAATGGTTATTGTGGGTTATCCCTAAGAGATAGACATATACCATCCCGGACTTTTTTGTAGACCCTTTTAAGATGTACAATATTGTAGTACATTATTTTGATCTATCTCGTAGGGTTCAGCCAGCGTTTGCAATGTAAGCGCAAAAAATGTGTTTATTTACGACATCACATTAGAAACCTCTAAAATTATCAGTGTTTCCCTACTATATTATGCATGTATTATACATATAAACCTTCCTCTTGAATCACTCTATCTTTTAAAAAAAACCGCATCAAAATCCGTTGCGTAGTTTTAAAGATTTAAGCATACATAGGGACAGACATCGGGAAAGCGACTGTAGTGATACCAAAAATGATAAAGTAATTTTTCAGGACGACCTGGTACTGTTGGACCAAGGGGACTTCCTGGTCCTCAAGGACCTCCAGGTATGACCCATGATTTTGTTTAGAAACGTTTCTCAATTCACAAAAAGTATAATTAACAAAAGACAATATATTGTTAATCTTCACTAATATTAAATAGTGTCATTTGTTAATTAACCTTAGCCATCAAGTAATGACCAAATTAATTAAAATAGCCTTAATCAAATTTTCTATTTAATATTCTAGGTTTGCCTGGACCAAAGGGTCCTCCAGGAAAAAAGGGTCTCGATGGAACCCCAGGAATTCCTGGAGTGAAAGCGTGGGAAACAAAAGTCAACGGCAGTGCAAAACTCCTTATACCCCCTTCAATAGCAAGTAAAACGCTTTCTTAGCTTGACATATTCATTGTTTATTCATTAAGGGCCTTCAACATTTCACAAACAGATTTTTTCAAAAAGTACTTAAATCTCTATTACTTAAAGATTCAAATTTATCTACACACATTATGCAATTATTTTTATTTATGAAATAGGTTCGTCGCTACCGTCAAAACCGATTGTTTTTATTGAGGGTGATAATGTGAGAATACCTTGTACAGCCTCCGGAATTCCAAAACCTAATGTTGAATGGAGAAGACTTGACAGACAACCAATTGCAACAGGAAAATGGCAAGGTATTCGTATAATACAGAATAATTCAATTTAATTTCGCGGAATCTATATATAGAAAAGATGCGATTGCAAAAGAAACAAAAATATTTTGTTGTGTTTCCTGAAATGCGAACCACAACTTTCATTGATTATTGTTAGGGGAAAGTGGAAGAAATTGCTTTCTTCTATCAAAAATTTGTGTAGTAGAATGAAGATTCGGGCTATAGGGCCGTGGTCTAAATAAACCATTCCGTCCAGATGTTTCGTCAGCTACTGCGGCTGACATCTTCAGTGGTAGTGCTGCGTTGACAACGTGAACGTATTGGGTTGTTCAGAAAGTCATTTCGTTTTTTCCCGACAGAGGATTTAATTGTATTCTTTTGCACCCAACTTCACATTTAAGCCGTATAATTTTTATATGCTTTGAGAGCTCTTATAGCAAGGCTTGTGTGTGAAAAATTCCAATTAATTCTACGCAGTAGTTTTTGGTTGGTGCCCTTTTAA